ATTTATAATAATCGTAACATTGTTTTACTTACGCCGGGAGCTCCACAGTTAAGAAGCTGCGCGAAGGAGTCATTGGGGTCTAGGGTGAAGGTGCCTACGATGTCGTCTCCCTTGCGCGCCTGCAGCAGGATGCCTCTCATCGTGTCAGTCGGCTTGTTTCCAGATATTGTGACCTCCATCGGAGTACCGGCCCTCACCACCTAATCACAAACAATTACTTCCTATACACGCTTATTACCAGAACAATTGTGTTTGTGTTCGTCAGTTATTACAATAATACTTGATTGTTTTATTGTTAGGCTTATTATTGTCCTGAAATTACACTGGCGAGAAACATTTATTAAATAATATTAATGATCCTTGTTTATTCATGAGAATATATAACAATACAAATGCATTAACAACGTAATGTTTTATTAGATGCAAGATCTAATTGGTGACACTTATTATAAGGTTTAAATTTTATTTTCTCATATTTTTTCGAAAATATACTTTATTTATATCAAATAACATCTTTGTATAAATATGTTTTCTCTTACTTTTGTGCTGGTGGTAATTTTGTACGGCGCTGCGGTCTTTTGCGGTGGCACGGGATGTCTCGGAATCATGTCTTTGCAGGCACTCTCAGGAGCGCCCACCGAGTAACCATCAGCGTAAGCCAGCACGGCCACAGCCACCGCAACGTATGTGAACCAAGTCATCTGTAATACATGGAAATTATCTATTAATTAACGATTTTTTTTGACGTAAGTGGGTCATGGTCTCTTTTTGTATTTCAGTTAACTTTCTGCGTCGCTGTTCTGTGACATGTTACCGGATTCAGAATGATGTAACTAAAAATTTCGGCACTTACTACAAAGTGCATGTAAGTAATACATATAAAAACAAATAAAATACGAGAATATTGCGCTAACGCTCACGAACTTTAATCGATGCATTTATTCAAATTATCAAATATTACTCAAGAGACTGTTCTTAGGTGGTCTTAATACACAATTTATAATGATTCAATGGATTAGAATGATAAAATCTACCAAGGAAATGTTCTGAATGGTGACAGTTATAACATTGAATAGCACAACGGAAGTAAATTTTATAAATTATTTACACTAAATTTTTAATTAAAAATTGTGTCAATAATTTGAAAATATTTAAGTACATTTTAAAAGTTTTTTTTTAAATATTACAATTCACTAAATCAAAATGTGTTTGTTTACCTTTATAAATGTTTTTTTTCTGTAACTGCAAGGCGCAAGTTGTGTGTCCGCGGAACGAATGTAAGCGAATATCGCGACCTCGCAACTTTCAGACTATATATTGACCAACTCTCTGCGGGGAAGGGCGGATAACCTAAGATTAATTGATCACAGACAGGCCATATGTTCCAACTACAAATCTAGTCAATCAATTATTTTATTATTTTCATCTTTTATATTAAATTGCATTAAAAAATTAAATAACTCGTCGATAAAACTAATTCGAACAAAAATAGTGACATATGTTAATGTTTATAATCAACTTTAACTTATTTATATTATAAATAGTACTTAAACGAAAATTATTTTAAATTCACACATCTAAAAACATTTAAATGCTATAAATTTAAATTACTTATATCACTAAAATACAATCTTTTAAACTGAAACTATTATTTGCTTTAGAACATTAATTCAATTATGTAATCTCTATTTACCTGAATATTCTTTGACCGACGTCAAAACCTTTGTCACTTTTTTACTTTAAATTACACTAGGAATATGTGTCTTATTAAAAAAGCATTAACAAAAATGTTAATTAAATTATCTAAACTATATGACTATATGTTTATCAAATGTGTAATATTATTTATGACATCTAACATTAGTAAATGATAAAAAAATATAAACTTTAGATTTCTTTTAAATTTCGATTTCGATAAACCCATTGTTACGTTACTTCTTCTTTATGTCCGCCTTCCTTAGACCCCGGGCTATTGTCAGGTATCGCTGCCATAGACTCCTATTAATTTTCTACAGTTATAGTTTGAAATTCTTTGTTCACAACATTTTTAAGTACCTTCTATATGAATGTAAGCTATACTTTTTAGCACAGTGTAATCATACTTCTTACTAATATCTCACTTATATTATAAATGCGAATGTTTAGATGGATGGATGTTTGTTAGAAGGTAACTCCAGACCCGCTGAACGGATCTCTATGAAATTTGGCATACATATAGAACATAATCTGATAGAACACATTATAGTTCTGGTTCCAATAGCCATATCGTTTTTATTAATCACTGAATTAATTATTAAGCATTGCAATTGCGTTAACGTAGGGAATACCCGAGTACAGATTTGTTTTATCTGCTAATTGCAGGGTTAATTTATGCAGCCGGGTCACAAATACGCTGTATAACACAACACAACATTATGTTATCAATATACGTATATATATTATAAACTTTGAATACTTAAGCATTAACTATTGCATAGAAATTTTATTTAGGTAGACATTAGCCGGGTAGTTGTCATGCGGCTTTAGTTACTAAAGAATTATTTTCTTTTTTAATAATCTGAATTATGGTCGGCATTTGGACAGTATGTTATGATATGCTCCACCTTCAATTGTTATTTATGATCCTGGTATTTAGTTAGCGCTGCCCTTTCCTGGTCCGGACTTTTGACATAAACTACTAGTACAGTACTATCCAAACTTTATTACGGCTCGCAGTGTAGTAAGAAACGCTACGCGGGACACATTTGGGAAAAAGCGTTGCAGTTCTACCCGCAGTAGGACCACCCGGCACATATTTCCGTAGACATGCGTTCGATCACCACGAGCAGCCTAAAAGTTTGAATATTGAAATGCCAGTTCGCTGTTCAACGAGAATTAAGTTCAAGGAAGGTCGCAAACCCGGTTTTCTTTTTCCTGAATCGTGTGTTGCGTTACTCTATTTATAATTATAATAAGGACAAAGTCATGTCTTACCGTGGGTTTCCATAAAAAAATATTACATAAATATAATCTGGGGTACAGTTTCACCTTTTGCATATTTCTTTTTTTACCATTAAGAAGTAAGGGAACGAATTGTATGAGTAAGGATATTGCGGTACATCCCTGAACAAAAAGGTTTGCGACTATTTTATCATTTACTTAGGTAGATTTCCATTGATGAAACACCAGTCACTAGTACAAACATATCGCTATCTTTGTTATCTTTAAACAGAATAAGTGGGATGACATTATTCTTTTATGTGAGTGTTCAAGTGTAAACCCACGGAATCGCTTCACAATTGTGGTAAGAAACTGGTACGTTACAAATAACTAAGAAAAACCCTTTGAAGGAAAACTGCTTAAGGTTCGGATGAATGTGTGAGATGCAGGAAAACAATAAACAATAACAAAGGTTTATTCATTCAGAGGGAATAGTCATCTAGTATTTTTTGCGGTTTGCATGCCTACTTAAAGTGACGCAAAGAAAACAACACAATAACAAATTATTATGACCTTTTTCTGAATTTACCGTTGATATCTGTGATCACCGTATAAAACATATCGACATCCCTGTCATTATCTTTTAAAAAAACAGAGATAACAATAGGGAGATAATAAAAGGGGATTTTGGTCTCAAAAACAATGTTAATTTCAAACCTGAAAATGGATTCTAAAATGTAATATTGTTGTCTCACATTTTTTTAGTAAAAATGACAGAGAAGTCTTTATATCAATTAGCTCACAAGGCTATATAATGTAAATACTTTAACTGGGAAATTACTAGATGTAAATAGTGATACGGTAAATAAATCCCTTGAGGAAAATCGTTTAGCGAACGAACAAAAATATGTTTACAAATGTTCTATCATACGGGTATAGAATACAATTTTAAAAAAATACAATTTACTCAAAAACTCGTTAATTTCAAAATATAAGTGACTTATTTTAACATCACTTCACTTTAACTCTAATTAAAAAAAAACTTATAAAATCAATATCGCAATGGCTGCCATGCATGGATTTTCGTGTGCCTCTGTTTATTCTTTTATTTATGCTTTCAATAGGAACGAAAGATACAAAGTGTAAAGTCACTTCCATTATGGAACGTAGAGCTGTTTTATTTCTGGACATCTATCCATAACATATCATTAAGATTTTTTAACATAATAATGACGAGAAAAACATGTTACATTTTGGGAAGTGTGCACAGGACTCACATGAAATGATTCTACCATCGAACGTTCAGATATACGGCAGGTATCCATCCTTTTTGTTAGCGTCAGTTTTTCTGTACAAATGTGACGCTGGTACTTGAATAGAAATGAATAAGGAGGTATTTACTAATATTTTGTAGTAGGTAATCTTTAGGCCAAATCACCACTTAACATCAGATAAATCGCTGTCAAGCAGTAACTTATCCATAAAAAAATAATTCAGTTAAAAGTTACACCAATATTAGAGAATGATGAAATACAGCGTACGAGGAAAACTAAAAGGAAATTTATTAGATGCTAATGTGCATGTGCAAATTGTTTTTGTAATGTTTATCTTTATTACTTTTCTCTGTTTACGTGACATATTCGTGATGTATTTTGAAATCCATTTTATATTTTGCACTTGTTGAAAAAGCAATACAATACCAAAAATTTTACGTTAAAGGCTTTTTTATTTACTAATTCTAATATGGTCATTTGTATGTATTTGTATGGTAGTATTTTTTCAGTTCGGTTTAAGTTTAAGGGTTCACAAGTTAACAACGACATAATCATGATAAAAGCGACATCTATTATAATTATTGGTTAACTGTTAATGGTTACGAATAGAAAAGCTATTTTGATAATTATTCTAGTATCAATTTCATTAAAAATAGTATAGAACATTATAATTTTTGTTCATCAAAAACAAAGTACTACAAATATAATTAATTTTTCACATAAAATTTTTAATTTTATCTTTGCAACTCGCCTTTAAGTTTGAATTGAGTTATCTGTAATAACCGAAGCCGGGTAAAATGACGTTTGGACACTTTTTTAGTCTATTTCTAGTGGTATGGTGGTCGATTAACAATATTTTTCATATTGAGTTCTAAACAATTTTAGCGGGAAGTTGACAATAACTAATTATTGTTAAAAATGAGTGTCGAAGAGGATGTAATGAAAATTCAAAAGAAATTAACTAAAATGACTTCAGAGGACGGAACTGTAAGTTTGATAATAGATAATTTTTAACCAAAAGAACTTAGACCGATTTCTGTCTAGACTGTAAGAATTAGATATATCTTGTTTAATTTCGAACAAATGTAACGAATCCTCGCGTTGGAATTATATACCTGATATAAATTTATCCTTATCTTTTGGTAAACTTTAGAATAGAATATCTTTTATTTATTACTTACCATATTGTGAATTCCTTTTTTGTTTTAGGGACAAGAAGATGCTCTTGAATTATTAAAAAATCTGCAAACGATGGCGATAAATTTGGATGTATTAACGAAAACAAGAATAGGAATGACTGTAAATGCTTTAAGAAAATCAAGTAAAGATGAAGAAGTGATTTCACTATGTAAGACATTGATTAAAAATTGGAAAAAATTCCTTTCTACTCCCAACACACCTTCTAAAGATTCAGGCAGTTCATCAAAGCCTAAAAAAGATTCAAGCAAGGATAAAGAAAAGAAAGAGGACAGAGAAAAAGACAGGAAACTACCAGCATCATTTCCCCCACAATCAAATACAACTGATGCTGTTAGACTAAAATGTCGAGAACTGTTAACCCAGGCCTTAAAGATAGATGGAGAAAATCCAAACTCATGTGGAACACCAGAAGAGTTAGCAGAAGAGCTTGAAGAATGCATTTACACCGAATTTAAGAATACTGATATGCGATATAAAAATAGGGTTCGTTCAAGAGTTGCAAATTTGAAGGATCCTAAAAATCCGACATTACGTACCAATTTTCTCAATGGTGTAATATCAGCATCTAGGCTAGCTAAGATGACTCCTGAAGAAATGGCCAGCGATGAGATGAAGAATTTACGAGAGAAGTTCATCAAGGAAGCAATTGATGATGCTCAATTGGCAACTGTACAGGGTACCAAAACAGATATGCTCAAATGTGGCAAATGCAAAAAGAAGAATTGTACTTACAATCAGCTGCAAACCAGAAGCTCTGATGAGCCAATGACAACCTTTGTTCTTTGCAATGAGTGTGGCAACCGTTGGAAATTCTGTTAAAACTTCCTAAAGTTACTTAGATAAGAAGTATATAAATATTTTAACAATAAAATACTGTACTTCTCGTAATACATATATAACTATGGAATCTGTATTTTTGTTTTGTCACTATGAATTGACTTGGCTTTATCACTGACTGGAATCATGATCAGTAGTCAATGACTTATTAGTTAATTTTAATAAATTAATTTGCTTAAAATATAAAGTTTCATTTTATAGGGTTTATTTAATAAAACTTAAATTGCGATCATAATTATGTATTCATCTATTATTTCACTTATTTACAATAACAGGAATGAGTCCTTTAGGACACGGAATAAACATATAAACTGGCATATTTCTTACCAAAGTCTTAAAAGCTAAAGTTTTACAATAAAGATTTAAGTAATTCTGGACATATAGTTTAGGAATATAGCTCCTATTTTCATACACAAAATATAAAAATTGATATTATTTTTTTATATTTATGTTGTGAGAATATTGTCTGCATTTTGATGAGACAAATCCAACATTCTCGGTGTATTACACAATGTTGCCAACATTAACACAATTATTATCTTCAAAATATAAATTATGTGAAGAATTCTAAGAAAAAAATAAAATTATAGTATCAACTACAATTTTATTTTCAATGACCTTGGTGGTTACTTCAGACTAAATTATAAACTTATATATCACCACAGAACAATCCTATCAATAACTACATATATTTATTAACAATAAGAACATATAAATACATATCACAAAGCTACAAACACTTTCATTCTAAAATCTCAAAAGGTATGGATCTGTTTAACATCTTACAAATACATGAATATAAATATTTCAACGTAAATGTAATTTGTAATGTAGTCAGTGAGACTTACAAAGTCGACAATTCGCAGGCACATCGGTCAATGTTTTTCATTTGTTAACGTCGTAAATTGAACAATGATAAAGTTTTCATATCCAGAATTTCTATTATCTAATATGGCAAGCTACACTTTGGTGAATATCAATAATTTTTTTTTTGGCTCACGAGGATCTATTTTTTCCCATATATAATATTCATCTTACTCCTAATTTGTAACCTAAATGCTGCTCCATTTTTTTAAGTCTTATTAACTAATTTCATCCTACCAATAATTCACCTGTTTTTATTTTTACAAATACTTTTTCATCATTACATATATCTATTTTGCTTTGTATATCTAATTTGAGATCAGTGACACTTTCTTCTTCATCTAATTTTGTTATTGTAAACTTTACATCTTCATTGGCGACGTAACATTCGGGCGTAAGATTTTTCTGGTAATTGAAATGAGTTTTCAAATGGTCCCGTAAGAAATGCGACTGAACAACGGCTAAATCACAAAATGAACATTTATGGTTGCCATTATTAAAGTTGTCATTTTTATCATGTCTTCTGAAATGGTTACCGAGAGCATCCTGACGCTGGTTTGTATAAGGACATAAGAAACATGGATGTAATTTGCGATCCTTTGTTGGCGTCACTTCGGTTTTGCTTGTATCATTTACAGAATTATTTAAAGCGCATCTTCTTTGCAAAAGCCTAAGAGTTTGTTGATCACTTATAGAGAATTGTTGGAAATCGCTTTTTGGTAGACCTTTAGGCATGGTTTTGATCGCCAATTTTATGTTCTCTGTGCTCTCCTCCTTTTTGTTTCCCGAAGGCTCCTCTAATTCAAGGAATCCATCGCTACCTCTTCGTCTTTCAGCGACGGCTTCATCGTTCTTTTGATGCTTCCTCATATGTTGAACATAATTGGCGTAATACTTGACAGAATAGTCACACAGTTCACATTTGTATCGCTGCTTAGAGCCGTGCAATGATAAATGAATTTTATATTGTTCCCTCTTCTCAAACGCGGATGGACATTTATGGCACTTGTATCGCTTCTCTTTTTGTCGACCATTTTTTAAATATGTCGGATATATAAACTCTGGATTACCATGCATTAGATAACCAAATTGAGGATCTGCTTGAAGTACTGGTGGAAAATGATCATTAGGTTTGACGAGCTTATCTTTATCACTTAAAACTCTTTTTTGAGCCTCAGTCTTTCTTTGAAATAGATCAGTACCTGAAAGTGGGATATTTTTGTAGTCCATATCTTCGCCGGATTCATAATCACAGGTAGACTTAGCGTCTGTCTCATGTAACAACTCATGTTTGGCCAAATTGCCAATATTCTTAACGGCGTAACTGCATTTCTTGCACTTGTTTTCGCCATCGCCACCATGTAAGCTCATATGATAGTTCAGTGCTGAAGTTTTAAAGAATTTTGCTGGACATTCTTTGCATAGATATTGTTTTGGGATATGCTTCCCTTCATGGGACTTCTTTGGAGAAATGTCCATATCTTCATAATTTTTACCTGGGAGGGTAACAACCCAATTTATTTCGGAGGTCGCAGCGCAGTGGACTAGCTCCAGCCGAGGTTCAGGGTGCGCCGGATCCGTGTTATGTATAAACTTAAGCATTTTAGTTTTAGTGTGATATTCATCGGAGTGAACAAAGATATGCGCAGCTAACTCAATGTCATGAAGTGTAGAAAATTCACAACTTCTACACTTGTTTGGATATGAGAGATCGTGGAATTTGTCGTGAACTTTTAATTCAGAGTCTGTGAAGAATCGCGCTGGACATTTTTGACAAAAATGTAATGTTTTTATTACCTTGTTTTCGGGAGTCGCACATTCCTCTTTAACGAAGTCATCAGCAGCATTCAATTTTTCTTCTTCGATTACCTTACGCAGTTTTGCTATCTGATCTTCATCGGGGATATCGGTCTCAACGGGACAATAGATGCGGCCATATATTTCGCCGTGTGTCTTTGAGTGATCCGCTAATCTTCCCGAATTATCACAAGTAAATTTACAATCCAAACATTTGTACACCAATACTTCATTGTGTGCGTTGGCGACGCAATGAATTTTTTCGTGATTCGGTATTTTACATTTTTGAGTATTAACATATGAACAATATCGACATTTGTACATTTTGTGGAATTCGTTCTTCGCGGAGACCCACACATAGGGAATTTCATCGAGATTTGGGTCGGATTTACTTTCAGTCTTATATGAAATCGAAGTCGACGCTTCAAGATCTGTTTCGAATTCACTTTTTTTCGACATAATACCGTGAACCCTCATATGCTGATGGAGGAGATGACGTTTTGAGACGCTGTAGTTGCATTCGGGACATTTGTAAGGAGTGTCTGCGGGCAATCGGTGGAATTGTTCGTGATACATGTACTGAGATTTGCTATTTGTCTCGTACGGGCACTCGGTGCATTTGTGTCGTTTGGTCGACAACTGATGTGTAGTTTGTGGTTCATTCAAAGGTGATTTGCAACCCATTGCTTTGGCGATGTACTCTTCGGGGTCGGTGATGCCGTGGAGAACGAGATGTTGTACCAGCTCTTGTTCGTCTTTCACAAAGAATGGACAGAAGTAGCACTTGAATATTGATTGCGGCGAAGGCTGGTGTTGTTGCATGTGTATGATCAGCATCGTTTTGTCGTTACTTTTGAACGGACACTTGGTGCAGAAATCTGGCACGGACTCGTTTAACAAAGTTGACCCCTCAACTTTCGGCTTTACTGTAGTAACGACTTTTATAACCCCGTCATGTTTAAGTCTGCAGTGCCTCTGCAATAATTTAAAAAAGCAATGTTAATTTATTTGAATTTCGAATAATATTTTTGAAACAAAAAAGATATGTTTATATACAGCGAATAAACTTTAAAATTACTTAAATAAAATTATAAAAAGATTTACATACCACTAGAAATATATAGGCTACTTAAGTTAGTAATTACAAAGAAGTCATATAGACGATAATTTTAATGGCTTGATTTTTCACATGATTTTAATTTACATATTAACATTACTTAATTGCGTCACTAGACATCTAGTAAATTTAAAAGGGATCTTAAATCCATTAATTGTAAAGTAAATAATGTGATTTAATTCATACCTGTATAACATGTTTCCAATTAGACAGCTGATTGCAATGACCGCATCGGTACGCCAAGTCGGCAGGGTCAGTGTTATTGTCGGGCTTTTTTACCGCTCCGCTACCACTTTGCTGAGACTTTGCGTCGTCTAACCCATACGAAGAGGCCTTCGAATGTTCCCGAACATGTTCCAAGAGAGCTTCTTTGGATGAATCTCTGAAAATATAGATAATGATTTCAATTGACATTTTTAATAGAAAAGAAAATTAAGACAGCAGAGTTGTTTAGTAACTCACCTGTAATTGCATTTTTTGCATTTCCATAAAGTCTTTTTAGGTCTCTTCGTATCTTCACTTCTATTGTCCAAACTATATTTGTAGTCGCCATGTTGAGTTTGTAAATCAAGTGGCTGCATATCTGTCGACGTGTTTGTAAGTTCGTTTGCGTCGTTGTAACTTTCATCGACGTCTAAGGACGTGTCGACATTCGTATTCTGTTCAATATAATGAAACTCATTCTCTCCATTCTCATTTAATATCGGCATAGCCAAAAACTTATTGTATTTACTATAATTTCTTCGCCCTGTCTCATCTGTCATTAGCACTTTTGCATCTGTATGGTTAGGATCTCTGGCGGATCTTAGTTTGATATGTTTTGTTATATCCCATCTCCAATTAGATTTGTATTTACATTGAGAACATTCGAATGGTTTCTTATTTAAATGTCCTACAATATGTACATGAAACCGAGACGCTGTGGAAGCCCAAAACATACAGTGTGGGCATTTGAATACCTTTTTTCCAACAGCTTGACTCGGTGACAGATTCATACCTTCATTTTCATCAACATTTTCAGAGTCAAAACTTTGAGGCGGTTCAGGAAGTGTGGAGTCATCATTGATACTGATATCAAGGGGTGTGTCAAATTTATTTGATTCTGTATTGATATTATTCCACACGAACACAACATTTTCCATAGGATGTGGCTCGACTTCTTTATCTGTCGAACATACAGCTTCATTGCTGTCTTGTGTTTCCGTTGCAACTGTTTTTGATTCTTCCTCATTTTTCTTGCAAGTTTTCATGTGTATGTATAAATCTGCACTAGATTTACACCTATGTCTGCAATTTTGACATCTCGTTGAACTTAAACTCGACATCAACGTATTGGTGGGCGTTCTGTTGGTTTGAGTCGAACATGTCTTTTCGTGTACCGAATGTTCTGATAAACATTTGCTTTCAAATCCACAGTTCTTACATCTTAAAGATCCTTCTTCTCCTGTTTCTGTGAGCAGTCTTTCTTTTAGTTTATCGAAAAATGATTCATGTTTCTTTCGAGTTGATGTTTCTTTAACTGGAGCATTGTTGACGACCGGCGTGAATGTGACATCTGGTGGTAAACAGTCTAATCTATTTGAGTTACTTGAATCTGGGGATTCACTCGATATTGACTCTTTGAATTTCTTCATCGGTGGTTCACCGGACGAAGTTTTATTTTGATTTGGGGTTGATGAGTTTAGAGGTATGAGTTGTGGTATTGGCCTGGGTATCTTTCGACTCTGTTTTCGTGACTTCGAATCTTCTAATGCCGATTCATGATGTTGGCCTGCACGTGTGTGACTTGAGCCATTCTTCGAGGATGTTTCAGAAG